ACCTCAGACAAATCACTTCAGGTCTCTGGGACTCACTTTCTTCATCTGTAAAATGAGGTCACACTAGATGATCTTTGAGGTCCCTTCTAACTCAAGAGCTAATCCTAAGTATCCTGACCAGATAACATACAAGCCACATGTCCTCTTTTTTTTAAAATTTTTTTGGGGGGGCTAGGCCATGGGGTTAAGTGACCTGCCCAGGGTCACACAGCTACTAGCTGTGTCTGAGGCTGTTATGTGTCTGAGGCTGGATTTGAACTCAGGTCCTCCTGAATCCAGGACTGGTGCTCTATCCACTGTGCCACCTAGCTGCCCTTCACATGCCCTCTTTGGATCTGTTTTGTCCTCTCTAAAATGAGGAAGTTGAACCAGATGGCCTCTAAGCTATGGGGGCCAGATTACATATGCTATGATCCCCTTTAATAACTGTGTGACATTGGGCTAGTCACTTCCTGCTCCAGACACTCAGTTTCTTCCTGAGCTCTTCCAGAGGCTCTCTGAATCAGTTAAAAAATCCCCCCCCCACTTCCCTCTCTCTGCCCTCACCTCTGGTCAGAGACTGGTCACAGTGGAGAGACAAGGGTAGAAGAGAAGGACTGCAGACTATATTTTTAGTTGACATATGGCCCTAGTGCCCACAGCCCAGCTTTCACATGTAGACTAGCATACAAAGCCTCACAATTAATTCCAAAGTTCTTCAGAGAGACCTTGAGAGTGTCCTTGTACCACTTTTCTGACCACTGTGTGAGCGCTTGACTTGTGTGATTTCTTCATAAAATAGTCTCTTAGGCCAATGTACATTTGGCATTCAAATAACATGGCTAGCCCACCTGAGTTGCACTCTGTGAAGCACAGTTTGAATGCTTGGCAATTCAGCTCTAGAAAGGATCTCAGTGTCTAGTACTTTACCTTGCCAGGAGATCTTCAGAATCTGCCCAAGACAATTCAAGTGGAAACAGGTCAGTTTCCTGGCATGGCGCTAGTAGTATGACTGTTTCATACAACAACGAGGTCAGCACAATGACCATATAGACCTTCAGTGTGGTAGGCAACCTAATACCTCTTCTCTCCCACTCTTTCTTTGGAGCCTCCCAAACACTGAGCTAGCCCTAGCAATGCGTGTGTCAACCTCATTATCAGTGTGTTCATCCCTGGAAAGTACACTGCCAAGGTAAGTGAACTTATCCACAGCATTCAAAACTTCTCCATTTGCTGTGACCAATGGCTCCATCCATGTATCGATGGTGTTGTGCTGGCTGGTAGAGGACCTCTGTTGGTGTTGATTTTCAGGCCAAAATTAACACAGGCAGCAAAGAATCAATCCGTATTCTGTTGCATCTTGGACTCAGAGGCTGCACTGAGTGATTGAAAACAAAAAGTCACACACCAGCTCTCCCTCCATTTTGGTCTTGGCTTGTAGCATTTTCAAGTTACAGTTTACCATTAGTAAGGTAGCTGACCTTGATGCTGTTTTTGTCCCTGTTGAAAGTGTCTGACAACATCATTATAAAGAGCGCAGGAACAAATACACAGGCCTATTTCACTGAGAACCTTTGTGATCATGCCACCATGAAACTGGCATATAATACAGATGAACTTCTCTGGGCAACCAAATTTCACCACGATCTTCCATAAGCCCTCATGACTGATCTCTCTGAAGAACTTTAGGATCAATGGTGAGACATTGGAGATGCTGGCACAGGACCACCCAGCATGACATTTCCTCATCAAAGAAAATGCTTTCTTCCATGAGCAAAGCAAAATCACATTAGCACAAAGGAAACATGAGCTGCTCAAACCCAGAGCCACCTCCATCCCCAGTGTTCTAGTGGACTACTTGTGCCAGAGCTAGACAGACCCCTTCCTCTCCACTCTCAGGAAAGGAGAGGCAAAGAAATACAGAAAGGCCAAGGGTAGGAACAGAGGTCTGGCTAATTCTCTAAAGCCCAGCACTCTTTAGAGTCTAAGACACCTAGATAGAGAAGCAGAAACTTTGAGCTGCTCAGGGACCTCAGAAGGAGTGGTAGAGCTTCCAAACTCCTTCCAAACACACTGTACCCTGACCACAACACTGTGATGTCACTGATGCTCTTTGAAAACAAAGGATGAACAACAAAAGCATACAGAGTAATCATTTAATTAATTTAGCAACCATTCGTTAAGTTTGGCTTATGTGCAGTTTTGTGGACTGTATGTGGATGGACAGCCCACAGAACTGTTCCATTTATCCCCTGATCTCAGATAGACTCTGTGCACAGGCAATGACTTGGGCCCAGGACGGAGCAGGAGGACTGGGATGGGCTGAACTGCCCATCCAAAAGGAGAAACTGTCCAGTGCTTTTAATGACCCAAGGTTTTGCCTAAAGCAAAAGTACATTTTTTTGTATGAATGGATGAAAGAAAAAGGCATTTATTAATCTCCTAGTATATTAACCAAACACTATACATAGCATAGTGCATCTCTGAGTCAGGAAAACCTTGGTGTAGGTCTGCTTCTGACACAAACAGGTCTACATGACCCTTCACAATTCACTTAACCTCTGGGGGCAGCTAGGTGGCTCAGTGGATAGAGCACCGGCCCTGAAGTCAGGGGGACCTGAGTTCAAATCCAGCCTCAGAACAAACACTTGACACTACCTGTGTGACCCTGGGCAAGTCACTCAACATCAATTACCTTTAAAAAAAAATTCACTTAACCTCTCGGGGTCTCAGGAATCTCTTTCTAAGACAATAAGATTCAGAGGAGGCGTCAGCCTGACTTGGTAGAGAGAGTTCCCTCATCTGGGAGTTCCCCATATCACTGAAATCACAGGCCCACTCCTTATTCTGATACCTTGTATAAGGATAACAACAGCTGCAGAGAAGGTGCAGAGATGGTGTAGTAGTCTCACCCACATTGGTGGCAGGAGCTCTGTTTGTTATTTCGTTGTTGTTCAGTTGTTTCAGGCGTGTCTAACTCTTCACGACCCCATTTGGGATTTTCTTGGCAAAGACACTGGAGTGGTTTGCCATTTCCTTTTCCAGCTCATTTAACAGATGAGGAAACTGAGGCAAACCGGTTAAGTGACTTGCACAGGGTCACACAACTAGTAAGTGTCTGAGGCTGGATTTCAATTCACAAAGATGAGTCATCCTGACTCCAGGCTTGGCCCTTTATCCACTGCTAGCTGCCTTAGGAACTCTATATATAGATAAAATTGCAGATCTGGTGAAAAGAAAAAAATATATAGCTGCAAGTCATGGAATAGCCTAGCCTCTGAAGAACTGAAATTGGGAGTGACCAGAGCACAGAGTAGAAGAAGCTACAGTTCATTCCCAACAACTAATTGCGCAAGAGATGTAAAACTCCAAAAAAGTGGATTGCCAGTCAAGGCATAGGAGCCAAGGATAACCACTGAGCAGCCCATATGACCTGTCGGCAAGCATGCAATGTCAAGAGAACTAGAGGAAGGCCCCCAGTATGTTCAGTGGCCCTACTACCACCCATTGGAAGATTAATGGGGGGACAAAAGCCCTACAGAATGGGTTAACATGTATGGGCTGCAATCTGCATCATTGGAGGGCACCACATATACATAGAAGTACATGACCACCAAAGTTCATGGAAATAATACCACAAACTAGGGAAGCTACAAAGATAAGGAAGATGTGGCACTCCCCCTCATGGTGCTCACAGTCTAGTACAGACATATGACACGCACACAAATATTTATACACAATAAGAGTGGAAGATGAGTGTAAGGAGCCAAGTTAAAAAAACACCATGATGAGAGGGAAGAGTCAAAGAAGGAAACAGTACCAGAGCTGAGCATTGAAGGCCAGGTGGAATTTTCATCATAGAGAATAGTATGAGAAAAGACAAGGTATAGATCATATATATATACCCAGAGGTACTACAGTATGCATGAAGTATGGCAATCAAAGCCCCTCACCCTGATCCTCACTGAGCCCTGGAGGACAGGGAGGTAACTAAAGTTACAAGTCTTTGGCAGGGGGTGGGGGGGGAGGCTGGAAAAGAGCAGAAAAATGGGCTGTGGATTTGCCGGTCCTTACATCTATAGCTACTCAGGGATTTCCCCACCCCATTCAATCAATATTTGTTAAGCCCTTATTGTATGCTCAATAACACTGTGCTAGGCGCTGGTGGTACAAAGATGAACTGGTCCCTACTCTCATGGAGCTTATATTTTATTGGAGGGGGTGGGGCAACAACATAGACATTAATAACTACATGCAGTATATGTTCCAAATAAGATCATTTGAGACAGGAGACACTAGCAGCATAGAGCATGAGGAAGGGCTTCACATAGAAGGTCTCAAGCTGAGGTTTTAAGGAAACTGAGGATTCTAAGAAACAGGGAAGGGGGAGAGGAGAAAGTGCATTCCAAAGGCACAGAGACAGAAACCCAGGAGTCCTGCATGTGGAACAGGAAGAAGACATAGGCAGCTAGATTTTATCGTGTGTGAAGAGAAGTAATGCCTAATAAGGCTAGAAAGGTAGGCTGGGGCAAGGCTGTGAAAGGCTTTAAATGCCAAACAGAGGAGTTTCTACTTGATTCTAGAGGTAATAGGATACACTGGAGTTTGTTGAAAGGGGAGGGATGTAATGATAAGGATGATAACATTTATATAGGTGCTTTGATCCTCGTAACAACTTGTGAGTTATGTGCTATTATTCTCCCCATTTTATAGGTAAAGAAACCAAGGCTGAGAAAGGTTAATTGACTTGCCCAGAGTCACATAACTAATGAATGTCTGAGATAGGATTCAAACTCAGGTTCTCTGTTCCACAAAGGCTGAGGAAATCAGGAACCTCAGGACCTGAAGGGAATATAATGAAGGGTAGCTCAGGTCTCCAGAGCATTGTTAATGAAACTTCAATTTGGAAACCATAGTCGCCCAGCACAGGTGTGTGGAAATGGGAGGCTGGAGGATGGATCGGGAACCAAGGCTGATAGGATCAAGGAGTATGTGTGTCTTACCACTATCTCCCTCCCCAGGCAGGCCTGGGCCCAGGGTTGCGATGGAGACTGTGTCCCTGGAGCATCAGATCCAGAGTGTGCAGCGGCACATTGCCTTCTTGAAGAAGGAGCAGATGGAGCTGCTTCGAGACCTGCACCTGGAGATTCTGCGCCTGCAGAAGCACTGCTCAGGTGAGGGCACCTTCCTCCCACCTGCCTTCCCCAAAGGCCTTGCAACACACACTCATCGCCAAGAGGCAGGGAGAGAGCTCACTCTCCCCCAGAGCCAGACACACAGAGTTCAGAGAAAAAGGGAAGGGAAGAAAAGAGAAAGGAGAGGAAGACAGGGGAGATAATAGGAGGGAAGGACAAGGAAGAAAGGTGAGGAGGAGAGGAAGAAAGAAGAGAAAGAAAAGAAAGGAAAGAGCATAGAAAGAAAGAGGAGGAAGAAAAAAGAGGAAAGAAGGGAGAGCATAGACAGGAAGGGGAGGAAGAAAAGAGAGAAAAGGAGGAAGGAGAAAAAGGAGGAAAGATAGGGAAGAAGATAGAAGGGAAGAGCAAGGAAGGAGAGAAGAGAGAGAAAAGGAAGAGAAAGACAAAAGAGAACAGAGGAGGAGACAACTAAAAGAGAAGGGGATGAAAAAAGAGAGGAAAGGGGGAAAATAGGAGAGGGAGACGGAGGGGACAGAAGTAGAGAGGGAAGTAAAAGAGAGAAGCAAATAATAGAGCATAGATTTAGAGGTGGAAGGGATCTTAAAAGTCACCAAGTCTAACCCCCTCACTTTACCAATGACAAATTCAAAGCTTAGTGAGATTAATGACCTCGTCACCCAAATATTATGTAACAGAAGTTTGAACCCAGGTGTTCCTGGCTCCAAGTCCATCATGCTCTGTACCAAACATCTCCAAGTACTGCCGTAAGCATTTCATTAAACACCTGCCATGCAAGGTAACTTTGTGGGAGAGGAGGAATAAGAAGCTAAGGGAATAAGGAAAGGCTTCGTGCAGAAGGTGGCTTCTGGGCTGAGGAAACCAGAGCTTCCAAGAGGTGGAAATGAGGAAGGAAGGAATTCCAGGCACAACGGAAATGGAGTGTGGTTTGTATGAGGAACAGCAAAAACAATTTGTATGAGGGAAGAGGAAAGGAATAGGAATAGAGAGGAATTTGAGAGGGAAAGGGAAAGGTATTGAGAGGGAGGTGAAGCAGGTGGCTGGAAGGAAGGGGGAGAGGAGATATGGGAAGATTGAGGATAGGCGCACAGGAACAGGAGGTGAAAGCAGAGAGCATGGACAGCACTAGACAGACCCCTTCCTCTCCAGTCCTAGGAAAGGAGAGGCAGAGAAATACAGAAAGGCAGAGGGTAGGAACAGAGGTCTGGCTTCTTCTCTAAACCCCCACACTCTTCAGAGTCTAAGACACCTAGATAGAGAAGCAGAAACTTTGAGCTGCTCAGGGACCTCAGAAGGAGATGTTTCGAGCCAGCAAATCTGGGAGACACTCGGGTATTGACAGCTCCTCCAGAAATCTGTCTACACAAGAGTTTCTGAGTATGGAGGGGCTGAATGGAATAATAAAGAAATGGAGGGATTTGCTTCTATGTTTCTATGTCACATAAAGGGGGGTGGGGGGTGGGAACTAGGAAACAAGAAAGTTTGCAGCTTGCAAACGGAGGAAGTTAGGAAGGAAAAGCTAAACCTAGAGTAGGGCAACAGGGGTTTATTCCACAGTGTAGGCTTCCGGGGGTGCCCTTCTGGACCTGGGGGAACAATTCCTGGCAGTAGAGTACACTTCATCCCCTTAAGCAGTCTAGACACTACCAACCCCTCCACGCTTTGTGTGTTTCCATGAAGGCAGCTAGGTGGCGCCACAGTGCACAGAGTGCTGAGCCTGGAGTCAGAAAGATCTGAGTTCAAATCCAATATCAGAAATTTACTAGCTACGTGACCCGGGCAAGTCACTTAACTTCTGTTTGCCTCACTTTCTCCAGTTATAAAGTGGGGACTTACACACTTACCTTGCTAGGTTCTTGTGAGAACTAAATATTAGTAAATCAAATATTAGTGAAGTGTATAGCACTGTACCTGGAACATAGTAGGCACTTAATAAATGCTTATTCCCTCCCCCCCATCCATTTGCCTGAGCCATGCACGATGTCACTTCCTTTCTGGGCCTCTCTCAGGGTTCTACAGTACTCCTTTCCTCCACATTCTTCAGGGTGAAATCCTGACTGTCTCTGGGGCAAGTCACCCCCTTCTCCAGACTTGATGGCACCAGTAAGTAATTTGTCCTTTGGTCCTCATCTGACCATCATCTTTGGTACTTCTACTCCCACCCCATCCCCCAAATCTATTACACTCTTTTTGCCCTAGGTGGAAAAAATTCCTGATAACCAGTGAGGAGAGGAGCAGGAAACATTGTAAGGACAAAAAGTAGTTCTTGCTCTATCCTCCTAAATTTGTGTGACATCACACCAGGTGGTCAATATAGCCAGGATTCAAGTCCAGAGAACTGAGTTATCAAGTGGCAGACCCTGGGAACGTTCTCCTAAAACACCACTGATGTGACCTACCCAGACTTCATCTGTCATCCTGCCTTGAAAAAAAAGAAAGCCAGGGAACTTAGATTCAATTCTGGATGTCTCTTCTCATTCAAAGCTAGGATCCTTCTGGCCCTTCCCAGCCAACGTCCTGAGTCAGTACTTCTAGCTACCATCATTCTGCTAAATTAGCAAGTTTAAACATAGATGGATGAGTTAGTGTCTCCTCTTTTCCTCCTGTGGAGAAAACCCAAGTCCCTCACAAGGTTATGAGATGATACTTCCAGGATTCATGGGTGTGGGTGCACCCTCCAATCAAAGCAGAGCCCAACCCTCCAGGCCTTCCCTATCTTCGTTAGTAGGTAAAGCCAAAAAAAATTTAATAAGTCATCACCTGGTGATTAATGAGAGTCTCTAGACTTAGCAAAGCTTGACATCACATTTCACAGATAAGCTTTTTTTCTTTTTTTGTCAGGGCTCAAAGCCCTTCAAATTCATGTAAATATTTGCTTCATAGAATTAAGTAGCATTGCATAGTAGCTAGAGAGCTGGCCTTGTGGCTAGGAAGAGCTGGGTTCAAATCCTACTTCTGACCCATCCTGGCTGTGTAACTGTGGTCAAGTCACTTCACTTCTTAGTACCCCAGAAGATTCTCTAAGACTGTAAATTGCAAAGAAAGTACTCACTTGCATTGGTAGTGGGAGTTCCCTATTTCGATGACTCACAGACCCAGGTCCTATTCAAATCCTTAATTGATCCCAGTATATCACAGTCCAAGTTAGTGATCTACCCACTCAAAATTATTGAGAAGATTGGTCAAGAGACCAATCCTACTTAGCCAGTTCAGAGGTAATTGGAGGGTTGTATGACTAATTGTCCTTTTTCTGTGTTTTTGCTAAAATTTCATTCAAGTTTGAAATGTCCCTGAATGTTTCTCTCACAATTGGCCAGAGATGACTCATCTATTTTATCTGCAAATCTGGTCTTTTGCATCTTTGGGATACGATGAAAAGCACAGTGGGTTCAAATCCTGACTCTAAGTATTACTGCTACCGTGGTCTTTGATCCCTCTCTGGATCTCAGTTTCCTTCTCCATAAAATGAAAGGGTTAGACTGGAAAACCATTAAGGTCCCTTCCTGTCCTAGGGCCTATGAATCTTATGGTAGGAACTTCCAGAACTTTCGCTCTTCAGGGGCTACAAAAAAAGACCCTATGCAAAGCTATTCCTTCCTCCCGAGAGCTCCCAGGTCCCCTGTTTGAAGCAGGCATGTATTTAGGAATATGGGCTTCCAGGACCACAGCTTGAAAGAAATGAGGGGGGGCAGCTAGGTGGCGCAGTGGATAGAGCACCGGCCCTGAAGTCAGGACAACCTGAGTTCAAATCCAGCCTCAGACCAAACACTTGACACTCACTAGCTGTGTGACCCTGGGCAAGTCACTTAACCCCAATTGCCTAAAAAAAAAAAAAAGAAAGAAAGAAAGAAAGAAGTGAGGGAGAGTCAAAAGGAAATCAGACAGTGAGAAATTCAGTGTGAAAAAAAATTGTACTTTTGACACCCGTCATACCATGATAAGAGGCATCACGCTGACAATAACGGAGGCCACCACGATGTACAGCACCAGACAGAGTTTTGCTCGAATTCAGTCTTCACTGGGCTTCCCCAGACCTAGCTGAGATCCTCAGAAAAGAGTCCAGAGACCCTCTGGAGAAGAATCTCTGAATCTAGCCTTTAGAAGCATGGAATGTGAGTGCTCAAAGCCCATCTGGTCTAACCTCCTCATTTTACAGAGAAGGAAAATGAGGCCTAGAGAGAGGAAGAGTGCCCAAGGTCACAAGAGCAGCTAGATCATACAGTTTGGGAGTTGGAAGGGACTCCAGTGTCAACCTAGTAAGAGCCATTGACCAAAGAAATTCCTGCCATAACATTCTTGACAGTTTGTCCAGTTTCTGCCTGCAGTCCTCCAAGGAAGGAGAAGCTGCCACCTTTCAGAGCAGCCCATTCCACTTGGACTTACCCACTGCCCCATTTCTTTTTGAGTCCTCATCATCTCTTTCAGGCTGTGATCTGGGCTCCTCTGTAGTGACAATGTGCATAGCCCTGTGTAGGGTCCTGGGAGTTCTAGGGGGGAAGAAGAGGTAACTAGGTCTGCGGCTGTGGGTTCTAGGCTATGAGTTCCTCTTCCCGGAGAAAAGTTTGTCCTGGCAAAATATAAATCCTCTTTCACTGCTGGTCATTCAGGAAGGCTAGGTTAAAAAAAAAGAAAAGAAAAGAAAAGAAAAGAAAAGAAAAGAAAAGAAAAGAAAAGAAAAGAAAAGAAAAGAAAAGAAAAGAAAAGAAAAGAAAAGAAAAGAAAAAAAGAAAAAAAAGCAAGAGCTGACCACCATGGCTACATCTCCCCCAGGATAACTGCTCTCTTCTCTCTCTCTCTCTCTCTCTCTCTCTCTCTCTCTCTCTCTCTCTCTCCATATATGTATGTGTGTGTATCTTCTCTCTCTCTCTCTCTCTCTCTCTCTCTCTCTCTCTCTCTCTCTCTCTCTCTCTCTCTCTCTCTCCATATATGTATGTGTGTGTATCTTCTCTCTCTCTCCTCTCTCTCTCTCTGTCTCTTTCTCCTCTCTCCATCACTCTCTATCTCTCCCTCTCTCCCCTCTC